TGTGTGTGTGTGTGTCTGTGTGTGTGTGTGTCTGTGTGTGTGTGTGTCTGTGTGTGTGTGTCTGTGTGTGTGTATCTGTGTGTGTATGTGTGTGTGCATGTGTGTGTGTGTCTCTGTGTATGTATGTGTGTGTGTGTGTATGTGTGTGTCTGTGTGTGTATGTGTGTGTATTTGCACATGTGCATGTAGTGTCTTTAAAGTCCCAAAGGGTGAGTCAGATTCCCTTCATCTGCAGTTATCAGTCCTTGTGAGCCCCTGACTTGGATGCTTGAAACTGATTTACAGTCTGTAACATACTCTTTACTGCTCCACCATCTATCCAGCTTTCTGTTCTCTTCATTTCTCTTCATGTTGAAATGTCATAAAGCCTAAAGGCTGACCAAGCCTGCTCCCTTGTGCTGTTTATTCTTAAATAACTGCTTGAAACTCTGATGCACATATCTGTTGATTAAGTTAGTAATGTGCAAAGGTGTCATACTTGCTTCTTTAGCAAAATGTATTTTACAATATAGTAGCTATGCTCTTTGTCTTTTTTATTAATTTTTTGTATTCAAATTAGAAAAAAGATTGATTTACATGTCAATCCCAGTTCCCACTCCCTCCCCTCGTCCCCTACCACTCCCCTAACTAATACCCTACCTATCAAATATCCTTTCTGCTCCTCAGGGAGTGTGAGGCCTTCCATAGAGGGTCATCAGAGTATCCTTTGGGATAGGGCCTAGGCTCACACTGTGTGTCTTGGCTCAGGGAGTATCCCTCTATTTGGATTGGGCTCCCAGAGTACACACCTATGCTAGGGATAAGTACTGAACTACCTACAAGGAGGTCCTGTAGATTTCCAAGGTCTCCTCACTGAAACCCAGGTTCCTGGGGTCTGGTTTGGTCCCATGCTGGTTAACCAGCTATCAGTCAGGGGACCAAGAGCTCCCCATTGTTCAGGTCAGCTGTTTCACCAATCTGGTCTGGACCCCTTTGCTCATCACTCATCCCTCTCTGCAACAGGATTCCAGTTAAGTTCAGTGATTATTTGTGGGTGTCTGCTTCTAATTCTACCAGCTACTGGATGAGGACTATCAGATGGCATATAAGTCAGTCATCAATCTCATTATCAGGGGAGGGCATTTAAGGCAGCCTCTCCTCTGTTGCTTAGATTGTTAGTTGGTGTCATCTTTGTAGATCTCCAGACCTTTCCTTAGTGCCCAATTTCTCTGTAAACCTAAAATATCTCTGTATATTATGGTATCTCATTTTTTCTTATTTTCTTATATTCTTCCTCGACTCAAGGTTTCTGCTCCTTCATGTCCTCCTCACCCCTCCTCTTCTCCCCTTCTCATTCTCCTAGCTCCCTACCCCCACTTCCCTTGCTCCCAATTTGCTCAGAGATTTTGTCCCTTTGCCCTTCTCCAGGGGTCCCCTATGTCTCTCTTAGGGTCCTCCTTGTTTACTAGCATCTCTGGCAGTGAGTTTGTAGGCTGGTATTCATGTACTCTATGTCTAAAATCCACATATGAGTGAGTACATACCAGTTTTTCCTTTTGTGATAGGGTTACCTGGCTCAGAATTGTTTTTTCTAGTTCCATCCACTTTCCTGCAAATTTCAAGATTCCATTGTTTTTT